CCGGAGCCCCGAACGGACTCCAGATCAGCCCTCCCGAGAGGTTTTAGGGCTTGGCGGCGGCTCCGTATCGTAAAACGCGATGAATCCTTCTCTCTGATTTTTTTCTCCCCAAAACCAAATATATAGAGTTGGAGTTGAGGTCGGAGGAGCTCCAGGGGGCCCACGAGGTAGGGGGAGCGCCCTAGGGGGGCAGGCGCGCCCCCACCCTCGTGGACAGGTGGTGAGCCCCCTGGCCTTCATCTTTTGCAAGGATTTTTTATTATTTCCGAAAAGTTGTTCCGTGAAGTTTCAGGTCATTCCGAGAACTTTTGTTTCTGCATATAAATAACACCATGGTAATTCTGCTGAAAACAGCGTCAGTCCGGGTTAGTTCCATTCAAATCATGCAAGTTAGAGTCCAAAACAAGGGCAAAAGTGTTTGGAAAAGTAGATACGATGGAGACGTATCACGCATCGGTGGTACTACTCGGAAGATCCACAAACGCGCCTGGAGAACTCCATACTTGAGTAAGCAAAGCATACCTCTGACCTCCAAAGATACTCTGTAAAAGAAAGTCCTTACCAGCCGCTATTTGCCTCGCCTGATGGATATCTTCACGAGCACTCCGGGACTCGATCCACGCTCTTTGGCCTCATGGAGGGCCTTGGCGAGCTCGGTCGACTGAGCCGAAGTCTTCTCCTCCAAGGTCTCGCATTTGCTGATGGCATCCTTCGGCTCCTGCTCGACTTCCATCACCTGAGCTTCATGTTGGCGGCGAGCAGCTTGCTCGGTCTTCACTTTTGCAGCCGCTTTGTCAGCGGCTGCCTTGTTGGCCTTAGCCTCATGGCCTGGGCGAGGGCGCCTTTAAGGGTCTCGACCTTGGCTGCACCAGCTGTGATCATAATTAAAAGCATTTCATGAGTTAACCTCTAAATATGCATATTACTTATGATATAAAAATAACTTCCTTTGTAAAACATTATACGCATACCTTGCGTCTCGTCGAACCACTTATTAATGCGGTCGATTTCCTCATCTGCCACCTGAAGCTTCCGATTGAGTTCGGAAACTTCTGCGGCCTGGGCAGTTGCCGCCAACAGGGAAGCATGTTACAATAATAGCATAGCATGTTAAATCTCCCGAATACTACGTGGATCCTCTGTCCGATTTCTTTTAAAAACCGAATAGAGCTTCAGGGGCTATTGTCTGTGCACAGGTATATTCCTCTATATGAAAAGTTTTTAGAACATTACATCGCCTACCTCAAGCCTATTAGTAGGCTGGTGAAGGCTTCATTCAGTCCACTCTTGGCAGACCGAACCTTCTCCACCACCACACCCATCAGGGTGCGATGCTCCACCATGATGGAAGCACGCTGCAGTGCTTCCTCCAGAGCGTTGGGCGCCTCCGGATTAGTGGAGGTCGCCGATGGAGCTGATGCTCCTCCCCCCTCTTTCAAAGGGGGCTGCTCGCCTGATCCCGGGGCCGCGTTGGTCTCCGAGATGGTGTTTGGCTGGGGCCCGGATTGTTGGGGCTCCCCGCTGTTGGTTGTCATAGGGGTCGTCCCCCTAGGTCTTCGGCGACCGAGGTATTAACCTCGAACGCTTTCCCGACGGCCTCTCTCACCCCTCCTCGGCTAGGAGAGGTCCTTCGGGACGACACTTCGGCGTCCCCCATGGTGATAGGCGAGGGAGCTCGCGGCGGCGTTTCACTCTCTGCCATTTCGGGTGGCAGTGAGTTCCCCTCCGATAATGGAGTTTGCGGGAGCTCGCGTGGAGGGCTGAAAGGCAAATAAAAAAATAACTTATGTAATGGAAACAGGAAGACCGAAGATAAATAGTAGGTTTCTGAATACTTACAATTCGGTTAGGGGCTTCACCCTGGGAGGCCTCTTGGGGACTAGTTCGGACTCTGAGTCCGAACTGTCCGAGGGGATCACCTTCCCTCTCTTGGGCGCCTGCCCCTTCGGGTCCTCGGAGGCCGCCCTCTTCTTCTTCCTCCCCTTACGTGGGGAGTCGTTTTCCACCTCCTCCTCCTCCTCTTCTTCTTCCTCGTCTTCCTCGTGGGAAGAGAGGGCTTCGGTCTCTCCAGACACCGTGTGTGAAGGACCTTTGTGGTGGGGGCCGCCCTTGGCCTCCTTGCCTTTCTTCTTCTTGGCCTTCTTCTCCGGCGCCTGATAGGGCGCCGGGACCAGCATCTTCGTTAGCTGGGGTGTGGGTGGGTCCTCAGGTAGTGGTGCCGAGCACTTGATCCGCTCCGCCTTTTTCGTCCATCCCTGTACGAAAGGCAGGCAATATATTATATCTGAATTATTGACCGAATAGGTCTTCGGAGAAATTATGCTTATCGGCGAGGTTGGGTTCTCGATGTCGAGTCTGATGTCTTCGGTCTTCATCGGGCAAATTTTCTGAGCCTTGAAGAGTTGCTTCCATATATCTTTGTGCATGGTGCCGAAGAAACACTTCAAGGTCCGTGGCTCCTTCGGATTGAACTCCCACATGGGGAGGCCCGGAGTTGGCAGGGAAGGATGCGGTGGAAGAGCATCACCTGAATCACGTTTGTGAGACCGATGTCCGAACCCAACACGTTGGAGATGCGTTTCTGCAGCATCTGCACCTTCGGTTGGGACCCCCAATCAAGGCCCTTGGCGGTCCATGAGGTGAGTCTCGTGGGGGGTCCGTATCTGAAGTCAGGCATGGCCACCCAGTTGGTGTCGCGGGGTTCGATGATGTAGAACCACTCCTGCTGCCACACCTTGACTGTATCCACAAATGCCCCTTTGGGCCAGACGACGTTGGGAAGCTTGCTTATCATAGCCCCGCCACACTCCGCGTGTTGTCCGCCGACCACCTTCGGCTTCAGATTGAAGACCTTGAGCCATAGGCCAAAGTGTGGGGGTGTGCGAAGAAGAGCCTCACACACGATGATGAACGCCGATATTTGGAGGAAGGAATTTAGGGCTAGATCATGGAAATCTAGCGCGTAATAGAACATGAGGCCTGGGACGAAGGGGTGGAGGGGAAACCCTAGCCCTCGGAGGAAATGGGGGATGAACACGACCCTCTCGCCATGCTCCGGAGTTGGGATAACCTGATCTTTGTTAAGGAGCCTGTGTGCGATACCCGTGGATAGATAGCCCGAGCTCTGAAGCTCCTTGATGTCCTTCTCGGTGACGGAGGAGACCTCCCACTTGCCCTTGGAACCGGACCCGACCATTGCTGGGGAGGGTGGTAGTGGTGGGAAAGATTGGAATTTTTGGGCGCTGGAGCTGGAAGGTTGGAATGCATAAGCTAGAGGAAGGTGTGGGAAAAAAGAAGGGATTTTTACCCTCTTATAGGCGGCAAAAATACCAAACGCCCCCCTCTCAAGCCATAAACCTCGCCTGTTCCCAACGAGATCGTGCGTAAGGCGCGGTTGGGTTACCCAAACCATATTGATGAGAATCCCGTAATGGGCGGGCACCAACTCTGTTTTGACAAGATGTGCCAATGGAGGCTAAGCCTCGAAACACGAAACGGGAGGCATAAAAACGGTTCAAAATGTTGAAGACTCAAGTGTGACGCTTCCCCAAAAAAGTTGCCAGTAAAAGACAATGTTCCTGTTTTTATGTCTTGCCTTTGTGGCTAAGGGTTGTATTGATTATGCAGAGCCGGACACAGCTCCTTTATGCAGGAAGCTGACTTAAAAATTTAGGAGAAGGAATCCGCCTTGTCATGCCAAACAGATCGTCATCGAAGATTGGTTCAGTGGCTACTAAGGGAGTCCTGGATTAGGGGGTCCTCGGGTGTCTAGATTATTCAATATGGGCCGGACTGATGGGTCGTGAAGATAAAGCAGAAGACTATCCCCCGTGTCCGGATAGGACTCCCATATGCGTGGATGGCAAGTTTGGTGTCCGGGTGTACTCTTTCTTTCCTTTGCAAACCGGCTCTGTATAACCCTAGGCCCCTCTAGTGTGTATATAAACCGTAGGGGTTAGTCCGTAGAGGCTATCAGAATAATCATAGGCTAAACAACTAGGGTTTAATCATTATGATCTTGAGGTAGATCAACTCTTGTAACCCTTATACACATCGAATATAATCAAGCAGGACGTAGGGTTTTACCTCCTTTAAGAGGGCCTGAACCTTGGTAAAACATTGTGTCCCTTGTTACCATCGATCGTCAGATACACAGCTTGGGACCACCTATCCGAGATCTGCCAGTTTTGACACCGACGGGGGGGCACCGGGTTAATCGGCTCGGCGCGACAGTCCGGGGCACATGTCCGACAACACCTCAAGTGGTTGGGAAGGTGGTGTTTGGGTGGGGACAAAATGGAAGGAGTGGTTCCCGTGAGTGCGAGCTCGCAAGAAGCAATGGAGGTGTATGATCTGTGCGGTTCCACATTAAGGAGTTGGCCTCACGGGCTAACTCGGCAGTCAAAATCGCTTAAGTCAAAACCGGGGGATGGGGGGGGTGGGGTGATTCCTAAACGGTTGGTTAGTTCGAGATGTGGGATGACTGATTTTGAAGCTGAGGGTTGAATGTTCACCCGAGGTGCAAGTTTAGGCTTATAAACTGGACTTTTTTAGCTGCCAAACCATAATTCGGTATATATCATTTGTTTGTTCAGTCTGTAGTGTGTATAACTACAAAATGATTGGATTACAGTGAGTACATCCGAGGTCTGGTACGCTATCGCTGAGAATAAAACATACCACTATCTCATAATTCACTTGAATAGTGACAAATATCTGCTATTACTAAAATTTGAATTCAACAACATACTTCTGTGTGCAAGTGTGAAACAATGGCAAAGCAAAACTGCTTCAACCCCCTATCTTGTGTGTATGCTACAGCCCTAAATATTTTCTTTACTCCGTTGTGTTAAGGAAGGGGGACCCTTCTGTGAAGCCCTCTGCATCCATGGGCCTCCCAACAAATAAACGAATGTGTCTACGCCTATCCTAGTACGATTACGTATTACAGGATAAAGCTCCGTCTCGTCGTGTCGTTTGCCATTTCTGACACTCGTCGCTCAGTACTGGGAGTTCTGGAAGAACATGTCCTCCTCCCTCGGCTCCTCCTTGGCGCTCGACGCGTGCATCGCGTCGTTCTGCCTCTGCTGCTGCTGGTGCTGGCTCATGTACGACGCCGTCGGGTTGTCGAACCCGGGCCCGGAGAAGCCGAAGCTGCCGTTGAAGCCGAACGAGCCCTGGTTCTGGCCGCCGAACCCGTCGGGCCTCGGCGCATACTGCTGTGTCCCGGCCACGGCGGGGGCGGCGTTGGCTTGGTACGCCATGGCGGACGGCTGCGGGTTCAGGTAGTGGCCGGTGCTCGCGGTGCTGTCCGCCGCCCGTGGCGCGGGGCGGTAGAGCGCGGCGCTCCCCCTGGCGGCCGGCACGTCGTGGTTGTGCTTGCCCTCGTACGTGGTGATCACCGCGCGCAGGTCGTGGGACGCGCGCTCCACGTGCTTCCGCACGGGGCACCCCACCGTGGTGCACTTGTAATAGCTCCGCGGGTTCGGGTTGCCCTTCACCACCTTCTGCCCGTACTTCCTCCACCGGTACCCGTCGTCGAGGATGTCGATGTCGCTCATGGTCTGGACGACCACCCTCGGCTCCCGCACCGTCCGGTTGCCGGCCATGTTCATTCCCTCGCCGTCACCACCGTCTCTCCTCCTGAAATTTTTGCCGATAGCAGGTTAATTTCCTCTGTTCCTCCAAGAATGCAACTCGCATGTACACATTGGATATGAATCGGTGCTCACCTCTTGGAATCCGGCTCATCATCGTCGTTGTCGTTACGGCCGACGTTGCCAGACCGCGGCGAGCTTACACCGTTCTCGTCGTCCCCGAAGGACGCCGAGGAGTTCTCGGGCGTGGTGACCATCCCTCCGAAGGAATTCTCGGACGCGTCGCCGCCGCTCTGCAGCACCTGGGCCGCGGCCGCGCCGCCGCCGGAGCCCCTGCGCGTGTTGAGCGGCTTGGCGTGGTTGTGCGTGCCCTTGTAGACGATCTCGGTGATCTGGCCCTCCAGGGAGGTCTCCACCTTCTTCTTGGTGGGGCAGTTGGGGAAGGTGCACTTGTAGTAGCTGCGGGGGTTCTCGCTCCCCTTCACCTGCTTCTGCCCGTACTTGCGCCAGTTGTACCCGTCGTCCGACGACCGCCTCTGCGAGTGCGTCTGCCTGTACGCGCCGGCAGGCGCCATCTCCGACGAGGTCGCCTGGAGCGCCGGCGCGCCGAAGCTCGCCGGGTTGGCGCCACTCGCGTCCATGCCTTCTTGTTGCTGGCCGTACCCCCATGCCTGCTGCTGCGGCTGCTGGCCTGTGTACGCCTCCTCCCCCTGAATCATTGCAAAGGATAATTTAAAATTAGGGAATCTCTCGTGCGCTGTTGGGATTTCCGCTAATCAATCACTATCACGGGGACTATTTCTCACAACCATCCTATAAAAATGAAAAGATGATGACACGACAGCGCGACAGGTGCTCCGTTTGTGGACGCGGAATGAAGAAAAATGGTATTCTATAGCGCAACTAGTTTATACTTATTTGACAAAGTCGACGAGGACACCGCATGGTTCGTGATCTCACCTGTGACGCCACCGCAACCGGTGGCTGTAAGCTAGTCGTCGTCGTCGTCGCACGCGCGGCCTCCTCGCCATTCGCCGGCGCCGTCTGGAACGAGAAGTCGGAGTAGGGCTGCCTCTGCTCCTCCTTGCCGCCCTGCTCGGCGGCGCTCGGCGTCGGCGCCTCCGGCCGCCAGTTGAACTGCGACCCGAACGCGCCCGTCGTGGGTGACGGGAAGATCTGAAACGACAAACCAAAACCGCGAATCAGCGACACGAACTCAATCGATGACATGGCGCCAACGGAATTCCATTCCATGGCGTTCTTGCTTACACTGGAGGTGAGGAGCACCGGGGAGTCGAGGAAGTCGGCGAGGTTCATGCCGGCGGGCATGCTGAAGAAGGACGACGGGGACATGAGCGAGGGCGAGAGCGGCAGGGAAGGCGGGGTCAGGGCCTTGTACCCGGACGCGCCGCCGGCCGCGGCGGAGCCGCCCAGCATTTCAGTGAAGCTCGCGCTCCCGAAGGAGAAGGAGCCCGGCCTCGAGTTGGTCGACGTCTCGACGCTCCCTGACGACGAGGTAGTCATCGGAGAGGGCTCTGATCCAAAATTGCGCGCGTGTGAGTTACGACGTGCGACGGTCGTCCGGCCGGCGTGTCTGCGTCCGGCGTGTACGTACGGCGAGGGAGAGGAGGAGGAGGAGGCGGAGGGGGAGGGGCGATCGGTTGGATTGCTTGGACGGAACGGGGGAGGAGGACTATATAGAGCTTCGAAAACTTTGACCGTGGACTGGTCAAACCTCGTGCCGTTTGACTGGCGGCGCGTTAGGCTAACGAGCGACGAGCGACGGGCTGACGGGAGGTACCCACCAGTAGCGACGAGCCATGCCGCTGAGTGGGGGCGACGTGGCAGGCGTCCTGACACGCTAGTGCGGGTGCGGGTACGGTTCTGGGTGAGAGGAGGAGTTGGTGGTCGTGGCTCATTTCTTTGACCTGTTCCAACGTCCAGCGTGGATTGTACTCCTTGGTTCTAAACAAGTGTTGAGGGGATTAAATCAGCATGATTGAAGCTAAGAGACAGAACGCAAAACTAGTTTAATTATGATGCTTCGATACGATTTACTGTTTGGAGCTATGTTCTTGTACATATATGGGAAGAACAACTCCTTGGCTGCCTTTTGTAGTTGTTCTTCGTTGTATATCCGTTTCTGTTCTTGCTCTGATCACTGATCATTGTACTCAATTGCAGTGGAGCAAGAACTTTAGAAACACAAACAAACTTCGGAAGTATCTTTCGATGACATGTGTTTTCAACTCCTATACGAAGAAAATAGTCCATTCGGTAGAATTTACAAATAATGTTTTGAAAAGTTATTCTTTCCTTCTTAAAGTGACACTACGCATATTATTTAACCCTCTGATTTTTTTGTTTCAACCCGGACCCAAAGTTGCGCCCACCAATATCTTTCTAGATGCATGGGTTAAATAATTCTACTTGCTGACCTCTTTTCTAGTAAATCAGGACTGCCCTCCTTTTAAAATTAAACTACTTTGGTAGGAGTGGTTGTCATGAGATAAGTAAACCTGTATAGTGACTCCTCACTTGGTTTGAACGTAAGACTATTACCTCATGCATATTGAAATGTATGTTTATTATGTTACACAAGATGCAAATAGGCCGTCACATTCATTCCCAAAGTGGTCGGACCCTTCCCTGGACCCTGCGCAAGCGGGAGCTACATGCACCAGGTTGCCCTTTTTTTTTATTCATTCACATAGGTGAAATTATCTCACTCGTTGATTACATTGTTCTTTACGCGAATACGCAAGATGCGTATCTTTTCATTGATAGAAGAAGAGTACAAGCAAGGGATTACAACGCTAACAAGGCCATGTACGCATTAGGCATGGTGTACAAGCGAAGGAGCATAACGGACGGGGGTATGCTCATCCCCCACAAGAGAACTAGGGACTAAGCGCCGGGGATAATGTTGTGTAGACCGGTGGCGCCCGCCCTGGCCCAGAGGTGCGCCTCGTCCTTGATGATCTCGGAGGTGAAGGTAATCGATGGTGCAGCTCCATCAAAAATGCAAGCGTTGTGGTGCTTTCAAATCCACCAAGCCGATAGGATGATGAGGGAGGATAGACCTTTGCGCATGGATGTCGCCGCAAGGTCAAGCGGGGATCTCCACCAGAGCTGAAAAGACGTGTTAGGGTCGGGGAGGCCGATGGGCACACATGCCCAGCCGAGGATCTCGTGCCAAACTTGGCGAGAGAAAGAACAGCCAGCAAGGAGATGGTGCATGGACTCCTCCTCCTGATCGCAAAGGGCGCATGCATCATCATGGGGCAGTCCGCGGCGTGCAAGGCGCTCCGTTGTCCAGCAGCGGTCTTGCATGGCCAGCCATAAGAAGAACTTGACGCGGAGGGGAGCCCAAGGTCGCCAAGTGAGCCGCCAGAATGGATCTTCACAAGATCCAACGAATAGAGCCTTATAGCAGGAACGGGTTGTGTATGTAGTAGAAGAAGTCCAACGCCAACAGAGGCTATCAGGCTCGGTCGAGACATTGGTGGGCCGCGATGAGAATTTCTCACTCGTATCAATGATTAAAAGTCTGTCCGAATCATGTTAGCAGTTGCCGCATTTTATAAAATCTGGCAAATGGATATCAAAACTACATTCCTTAATGGATTTATTAAAGAAGAGTTGTATATGATGCAACCAGAAGGTTTTGTCAATCCTAAATATGCTAACAAAGTGAGCAAGCTCCAGCGATCCATCTATGGACTGGTGCAATCATCTCGGAGTTGGAATATATACTTTGATGAATTGATCAAAGCATATAATTTTATACAGACTTGTGGTGAAGCCTGTATTTACAAGAAAGTGAGTGGAAGCACTACAACATTTCTGATAAATATATGTGAATGACATATTGTTGATCAGAAATAATGTAGAATTTTCTGGAAAGCATAAAGGAGTATTTGAAAGGAGTTTTTTCAATAAAGACCTCGGTGAAGCTACTTACATATTGAGCATCAAGATCTATAAAGATAGATCAAGACGCTTGATAAGTTTTTTCAATGAGTACATACCTTGACAAGATTTTGAAGTAGTTCAAAATGGAACAGTCAAAGAAAGAGTTCTTACCTGTGTTACAAGGTGTGAAATTGAGTAAGACTCAAAGCCCGACCACGGCAGAAGATAGAAAGAGAATGAAAGTCATTCCCTATGCCTCAGCCATAGTTTCTATAAAGTATGCCATGATGTGTACCAGATCTATTGTATACCCTACACTGAGTTTAGCAACTGAGTACAATAGTGATCTAGGAGTAGATCACTGGACAGCGGTCATAATCCTTAGTGAAATAAGGATATGTTTCTCGATTATGGAGGTGACAAAAGGTTCGTCGTAAAGGGTTACGTCGATGCAAATTTTGACACTGATCCAGATGACTCTAAAGTCTTAATCTGGATAAATTTTAAAAGTGGGAGCAATTAGCTAGAGTAGCTCCGTGCAGAGCATTGTTGACATAGAAATTTGCAAAATAAATACGGATCTGAATGTGGCAGACCCGTAGACTAAACTTCTCTCACAAGCAAAACACGATCACACCTTAGTACTTTTTGGGTGTTAATCACATGGCGATGTGAACTAGATTATTGACTCTAGTAAACCCTTTGGGTGTTGGTCACATGACGATGTGAACTATGGGTGTTAATCACATGGTGATGTGAACTATTGGTACTAAATCACATGGCGATATGAACTAGATTATTGACTCTAGTGCAAGTGGGAGACTGAAGGAAATATGCCCTAGAGGCAATAATAAAGTTATTATTTATTTCCTTATATCATGATAACTATTTATTATTCATGCTAGAATTGTATTAATCGGAAACATGATACATGTGTGAATACATAGACAAACATAGTGTCACTAGTATGCCTCTACTTGACTAGCTCGTTGATCAAAGATGGTTATGTTTCCTAACCATAGACATGAGTTGTCATTTGATTAACGGGATCACATTATTAGGAGAATGATCTGATTGACTTGACCCATTCCGTTAGCTTAACATTTGATCGTTTAGTATGTTGCTATTGCTTTCTTCATGACTTATACATGTTTCTATGACTATGAGGTTATGCAACTCTCGTTTATCGAGGAACACTTTGTGTGCTACCAGACGTCATAACGTAACTGGGTGATTATAAAGGTGCTCTACAGGTGTCTTCGAAGGTACTTGTTGGGTTGGCGTATTTCGAGATTAGGATTTGCCACTCTGATTGTCAGAGAGGTATCTTTGGGCCCACTCGGTAATGCACATCACTATAAGCCTTGCAAGTATTGTAACTAATGAGTTAGTTACGGGATGATGTATTACAGAATGAGTAAAGAAACTTGTCGGTAACAAGATTAAACTAGGTATTAAGATACCGACGATCGAATCTCGGGCAAGTAACATACCGATGACAAAGGGAACAACGTATCTTGTTATGCGGTTCGACCGATAAAGATCTTCGTAGAATATGTAGGAGTCAATATGGGCATCCAGGTTCCGCTATTGGTTATTGACCAGAGAAGTGTCTCGGTCATGTCTACATAATTCTCGAACCCGTAGGGTCCGCACGCTTAAACGTTTGTTGACGATATAATATTATAAGAGTTATGTATGTTGGTGACCGAATGTTGTTCGAAGTCCCGGATGAGATCACGAACATGAAGAGGAGCTCCGGAATGGTCCGGAGGTAAAGATTCAAATATTGGATGATATGGTTAGGCCAAGGGGTCAGGCCCACGGGGCTATAGATCGGTGCAAAAGGAGTTTTGCGGAGGCCAGGAGGCCAAACGCCGGAGACCCTGGCGTCTGGCCCTGGGCCAGAAGTCGAGGCCCATGGCGTCTGGGCCAGACGCCAAGGATTGTGGCGTTTGGTCCTGGAGTCCGAGTGGGACTTTTGCCTTTCGGGCAAAACCGACTTTGAGGAGCCTTTTGCTCCAAGTTTCGACCCCATGGCTCAACATATAAATAGAGGGGCAGGGCTAGCACCAAAGATAGATCAAAAAACACCAAGCCGTGTGCTGGCAACCCCGTCCCCTCTAGTTCATCGTCCTCATAGTTTTCGTAGTGCTTAGGCGAAGCCCTGCGGAGATCGTTCTTCACCAACACCGTCACTACGCCGTCGTGCTGTCGGAACTCATCTCTTACTTCGTCCCTCTTACTGGATCGAGAAGGCGAGGACGTCATCGAGCTGAACGTGTGCTGAACGCAGAGGTACCGTACGTTCGGTACTTGAACGGGACGGATCGTGAAGGTGTGCGACTACATCAACCACGTTGATAAACGCTTCCGCTTACGGTTTACGAGGTTACCTAGACAACACTCACCCTTCTCGTTGCTATGCATCACCATGATCCTTGCGTGTGCGTAGGAATTTTTTTGAAATTACTATGTTCCCCAACATTTTTAACAAACTAGAGGTTACCCCGCACGCTGCTATGGGAATTGGTCGATGAAGATTTGTGTTGATGACATAAGAAACAAATTTAAAATATATATAACTTATTATATTGTATTATGTATAG